TCGTCATAGCATGATGTTGGTGCGTAAGCGACGAAGATGGTGAAAGCAGGCCTGGAACCACATCGTTTCAACCGTAATCGTCCAATACGGGTTGTGAGTTGTTCAAACGAATCGATGTTCTCGGTCAAATTCCATTTGACGAGGACGCCAACGCCCCGACATCTCTGCTATCGCATGTTTCTAGAACAGTTCTCCAGTGTCATAAACAGCTTGAAAAGGATGGCGCCTTCTCGTCTCAGCCAGGCCAGTAACGTCGTACCTTATCCTTCTTGTTGAATCAATAGATCTTCTGCAGCGGATTCGTGAACAAGTGTTCTTGCATTGTAGGTACAGGTCGTCATTTTAGTCCGTTTCGATCTTGGCAGTCTAGTTTGGTCGTGAGATTTTAGCAGCCTCTCCGTACTCGTCCTAACTGCCGCTGCCGTACCAGGAGCTCTGTCTTGGTCAGGGGAATGAGCCCATATTTGTTACTGCTTTTGGCATTTTGATACACAACGTATAGCCTGTCAGGCTCTACACCTGGGGGATGAGTACTCACGAGTAGTTTGCCAGTCTTTTTTGGAGGAGCGGAAGGAGATTATTTGTTGGAGGCGACTCCTAACCGCCTCCCATGTACTTTACAGTCGCTTGATTGCAAGCTTTTGGCCGACTTGACTCGTGGAAATAGGGTTTTTGTCAAGTCGGCGCTGCAGAAGCAGGGAGTTCTTCCCCGAAACCACCTGCTTCTTTGGGAAGCACACGGTCGCTTTTGGTTCGCGTTTATTCCCCTATCCACCACCTGGGCACGCGTCACGTGCCATCGCGACTAACCGGTCGGGATCCCTCAAAGAGGGAGGTCCGTGGTTGCAGAAGAAAAGAAATAGTAGTAAATAAATGAATAAATAAATAAATAAATAAATTTATAAATGAATAAGTAAATATATCGGAGAGCCGTGACTTGTTTTTGATGCTCGTCGCAGCACACGCAGTCTGAGGTCCGCCTCCAGCACTCTCCTGCAGTCAACAACGAACTCTCTATGGAAGGCTACAGCCACGCTATCATGGAGATTGCAAGGATACGTGCTCAACCAGTATTTTACAACTTTCATGAATAAGTTGAAAGAACGAGTTGATTGCTAGGAGTGTAAGGATCCGCGCAGTGCAAAAGGAAACACTGTGAAGATGGATCAATAAAGTGCTAAAGATATATATGTGCACGAATGTGAAAAGAATATTTTCTGCGGAATCTCCTTTACAGGATTCTTGTAACAACCTGGTTCGTAAGTGAACTCATGGAAGTTATTGACTTTGTGACATAGGTGAATAAAAGAATATACTACACAAATAGCTTATAATGTTTTCAAAAGCGAAATGGTTCAATTGCAAAAATTCTCTTTTTATGAGAAAAGTCTCAAAAAATCGTTCAGTGGTGACCAGGTCTTGCAGTCTTCGCAAATTCTGAATGAACCATAGGTCAAGGCGGAGACACGGCATAAAAACAGATGTGGAAACGTAAGTAAAAGTGTGAAAACACTGCAAATCCAATCTTAAAAAAAAGCGACACGCAGTGCTCACTAGCTATTCCAATATCCCAATTGTCCCATTTGAAGAGATGGGTCTCCGAGTAGGTGGATAATTCACGCTCGCACAAATGAATGGACGTGTCTCAATCGGTTCAAGCATATCACCGACCACAGCATTAGTGTAGTGGAATGGCACTTGCTTGGAAGATAGAGTTCATCTTCTACCACGACAAACTTGATTTAACGAACAAAACGAATTTTTGTTCTCCTTCTCACAAACGTTGAGATTCGCATTTGGGACACGAAAGCAAGTGAACAAGCAGATTTTTGTTCGGCAGCACAAGCTTGTGCTCGCATATCGTTCGGGACCACATGTATCATGAATGGTACACGCGCTTTCTCGTGGTTTTCTCGTTGAGCACACATTTTTTGCTAGACCTACAGCTGTCATTCAATAGCCGAAAGCACTGCGATTCTAATATTAGGATTGTATGTAAAGATGCTTCTCTAGTGAGTTGCAGCAACAAAAATAGAGTTACGATTTTATCGTCGGAGCATATAGTATATTTTGTACTCGTGTTTGCTTATTTCACATCGGGCAATGTTTTTCACTGAAGTTTTGGTATTCACTAGATAGCTTTGAAAACGATGGTTTTAAATGTAACTTTTTTTGAATTATTCTCGAGAAGCTTCTGTTGCACCATTGTAAAGACGAACAGAAACTGCGCCTTGCCTTTGGAGTGATTACTGGACTACCCTGTCGTCCATGTTTGGTTGCTCAGTAGAATTTCAATGGTCAATCAATTGCCTTCAAAGTGACGGTTCTAACAGCTGTGCTGTTTCTAGACTAGATTTTTAGAGTTATTATAAAAGCCGCAAGCTGGACTGCCGGTCAACACTACGTTAGGTAATACCATCATTGGACTTGCGTGAATGCTTTTAATTGGCGTCGATTCCTTTAGAGGATTATTTAGCCTAAAGGGATCGACGGAACCGAGGCAGGGTGCTACTGATGAGTCCCAATAAGACGGAATAGGCGCCTATATGGCACCAGACCTATCGGTTCAAGACATGTCATACCTTATCAGATTATTTCATTTTGAGCGGGTCTGTGAAAGAGCGGCCTATTACAGGGTTTTAGATGTTTTTAGTGCGCTGTACAACAGAGAAAAACATCGCGTTTGACATTCTGAGTATTAAGCTCGTCGCTTGAGCCTCGTAGTAGGGTCATTGGCTACGACCATGGCAAAGTTCATACGCAAGTGAAAATGAATGATCAGATGAACCATGGGTTACTGAAAGTCTTTTTGCAAGAGCCTTGCTTAATAAAATTGAAAATGCCGACGTGTCCTAAAAATACCGCTAACACGAATGCCACATCAAGCGGAAAGCAGCGCGTCAAATATAGCTACAACGAGAGTTGTCGATGAACTGGCACGTATGCACTGCGCAACATCTTTTTTGACGATCTATTCATTGTTTTTTGAAGTTTCAGCCACAAACATAACGTTTGACTCTTGCATATGAGAGAATACATCAAAAGTGTTCCATTTATTTCATTGAATTTTTTGTACAAATCATTACAATTGGCTTAATGCCAACAACACTGTAATGGCGTAGTAAGAAGAGTATACGAAGACGTTATATTTACCCTAAAAGCATACACCATTGTGGAGAAAATCGTGACATATCAAATTTTGCAAGAAACTCTAGAAATGTTTTCAAGAGTGCAAAAAAGTCCTAATTACTCAAGTAACTCAAATCCTGCATCGGCTAGGAATCGCATCACGCTTTGCAATTCTATGTAGTCTCGAAAAGTTTAACTCGTTGCTGACCACATTGCTATTTCGCTTAACGCGCGACACGGTTTTTAGTGTTTGAGTGTTGTTGGAAAGCCTTTGTTAAGAACAAGCATACCTGAAATTTTTCGAAACTTAAGACATATAATGATTGCTAGCAGTCTAATGGAAAATGTTTGTCCAGCGAAAAATTTTTTCTTCGCAAAAACTTTGCACGATAGCAAAAAAGTGTCGAATTTCATGTGCTTTGTCTATAAAGGTGTTGGCTGAACGAATTGTGTCATCTTGACCTTCTCAAAGAAGCGCTACTACCGAAGAGTTGGCCTTGAACAAGCTGTGTAATTATGTCTTTCGCTCTGCTCAAGAGAGTCTGATCAAAAAGATAAATCATGTCTGATTGAGAAGAAAACACTAACTACCGATACTATAGTTTTTAAAACAATTTCAATAAGGATAATGTTTGTTTAGTGTTGCAACTAACAACTTATTCACTCGATATCGGTTATCGCTTTGGAAGTGTGCTAAAATTGTGGGCAGCTGTCTTAGCTCTGCTCTCCAGGAATCAATTCATCTCCAATGAGCTTCTATACATATTTGAAATCTCATGTGGTCCACTTCGATTTTGGACCATCTGGACCACGTTTTCTCTAAGTGTCTTACACAGACTTCGATCTCTCAGGAATTGGAAGTGAACGTATGCAAGAAATGCAAAGTTAGGATTGCGAATTACGTGTATGTAACCTATAAGCATAAGACCCTGTTATTCTTTGTCTATTGCTTGACGGTCTGTGCTAGTTTGACTGGGAGCTGCTGCTCTAATTCAATTTTCTATCATCAATCCAAATGCGTAAGAGGTTTTCGAGCTTTATTTATTTTGCTGGATTAGCATTTTGCTCATCATCTTATAACGTAACAGAGAATAAAACAAACAATGGGAGCATTGACGCATTCGCTGTCGAATAGTGAACACGCCGAACTGCAAAAGCAGAAAACATAGTAGAAACCTTTTTGAAAGATTCTTTAAAAAGGACATCGCTATAGAGGTACACTAGTGAAGCCTGGAAGATCCCTTCATGAACATGTTGAGCAACTGTCATAACATACCCTCCATATAAAAAATCGTGACTTTGCGCTTCCACTGATGAATGAATTTTGACTGAACAGCTACTCTGCTCGATGACCATCATAGAATGTATATCACAAATATTGTTTGAGCCAATGTGTCATTGGTTTGATGATGGGAGCTAAAAGAGCCCATTATCAGACCACATGACATGTTGACTCAAATAATAAATATGAGATATACTGAAATTTGAGCGTGATCTTAATAAAACACTGGAAATAACATATAATGTTATGAAATACCAGCCAAAGAGCTGAGTGTACGACACTGTACGTTCGTTGATGACTTCACTTACAGTGTAAATCCTTTGTCGACGCTTCCTCTTTATGAAGAGAGTAAGAGCTCCGAGGAGGATTAGCTAAAAGACTAAAAGACGAAGGGCTCTGTCCGACTGATAAGACTGTAAGGTCGAAACAGGTGTATCGGGCTGTACATGAGGCCATTATCAGACCACATGAATGTTAACTCAAATAATAATCATGAGATAATCAATCGAAGAACATTTATTTGACCGCCTCTTGCGGAGGTATGGTCTTATAATATACCCAAAAAAGTGGGGTGCTGTGCAAAAGTATTTGCGTCAGCCGGGATTCAAACTCAGATCTTATTCTTTCGGGGAACGTGTGCTGAATCGTTGCACCACCAACACTCGTTTTGAAATACACTCTGTTGACTGCTGACAGATAATGCGTTGTGCCGTAAAAAGAGTGTTGTGCAAAACGAGCGTCGGTGGTATAACGGTTCAGCACACTCTCCCAGAAATAATGAAACCTGGGTTCGATTCCCGGCTGAAGCAGATGTTTTTGACAACACTCCACACTATTGGGTAAATTATGAGATATACGGAAATTTGAGCGCGCTCTTAATAAAACACTCGAAATAAAGGTATAACATTATGGAATACTCTCAGCTCACATAGTGATCGATGTTTTAGATGCACTTTGCATTTCCAATTTGATGTTCTAACTTCACTATGCCGACATAGCAATAAGGAACAAATAAGCAGTGTTTTTTCACTTAGTAGCTATTGAAATGTACAATATGATTCACACTGCGAATAAACGAATGAGGCGGTGAATGTCCTACACAGTTCTTGTAAGAAATATGGAAACCTATGAATGATGGTATCGTTGATACCATGAAAGAATGTTTAATTACAACACTCGCAAGGCTCTGTTGCTATTTTTGCTCTTTTCCGGATCGTGGCTACCAAAGTAACAATGTCAACAAAGAGGCACAAAATATCGGTGATCGAGTCGGGTTTCTTAGGTCGCATCATTGAGACCTACTAAACGCGTGTCCGCTACTCGGAATCGACATTCAATGACATGATGTAATCACTCGTATAACTTTGTCGTTGAGAACTATCACACCGTTGGCGCTGGAAGGTAATTCCTTGAAGTGCAGTCTTTAGTGTCTGAACGGGGAGCATCCACTATGTGGCCCAGCTTTATAGTGAGCTATGCGCGTTCACCACCGAGCACAAGCAATTAGTCCCATATCTAATAACCCCCTTCCCCCCTCCCCCCGCCTGGTCATGCTTCACGGTCAGTGGCAGTTGTACACCACGATCGCATCAATTTCGAAATGATGCCGTACCAATGACGCTGGTGGCAAGGCGTCACCCATTGTAATTTGCCAAGGCTCTCTTACTTCTGCAATTCACTTTTTCTCTTGAAACCAACCCATTAATTCTTTGATTCACAATTCAGTCTTTTACTATCATGAAGACCTCACTCGTCACTCTTGTATCTCTTTTACTAAAGCCTAATTCTTTTGTCACATGAGAAGACATCGTTTAATTTTATTCAGTTGTCGTATAGCATCGTGTTATAAGTTTATATATATATATATATATATATATATATATATATGTTTAACAACATTATATCTACTTGTAGGATGTTCGTTGAGCAACATTCATTGCTTGTTATAGAGTAATAATCACTGCGGGGCGCCGTGGCCGTGTGGTTGTCATGCTCGTCGCGACGCGCATGGAGTCGAGCTCAACCCTCCAACACACTTGCAGTCAACAAAAACGCTTTGTGGAGCAGCACAGCCAGGCTAACCTCGATGTCGCAAAGAGACGTGCTCGACTAGTATTCTACGTCATTCAAGAAGACGAAAAACGAATAGAATGCCAGAAGTGCTGGGTTGCGCACGATAAGAATTGATGACGGGTGTAAAATAAATAAAACATAAATAAGCACTGCACGTGGTCATGTCGTCGATAAAGCTGGTGATATAAGCTATATTTAAGTCGGTGTGCCAAAAAACCAATGTACTGATTTTTATCATATGCATACAGCACATGGTACAAGCGACAAATCAAAGGCCGGCTAGAACATTCATCATTCGAATCGTTACATTTGGCGCACTAATAGCACTGATCAAATCATTGAAGTGCTAACAAAATTTGACACATTGGCGTCAAACCACAAAATTGCTAGACGCCTCTTTTTCACGTGTAAAGGAAGACGAATAAACATCATAATAAGTCATTTTCGAAATTATAAAACTTCGTGAAAATCTTACTAATGCAGACAATGAGAGATATAGGTACCAGGGTAGGCAAGAACATCGGCTGACATTCTGATTGGAGCACCTGTAGGCGTTTTAGGTGCAGGGCCAAACAATTGCTGTCGTGTGAGGATTAAAGTGAACGAAGCATCCTAGCTCAGCCCGCTGTAAACTTCCCAACTGTGCAATCACGGTGAATTTGGTTTTTAAAAATAGAAATGACGCAAAGCCCTGCTGTTTGCAAAATGCGGAAATGGGGGTGCTTTTTTCGCGTACTTTAGGAATAATGGCATCACAGCTTGTGAAATTTTACTAACCCAATTATTATCTTGAATGACCACATGGCACATTTCGCGGCGTATGCACTGCATAGGTTTGATACGACTGAAGGATCCCGTGGCCGAATGATTGTGATAATTGGAAATAGTATGAAACGGTTTAAATTATGTGATAAAATAGAAAGAAATGGTAAGTTCCAGATTGATAAATCTTTGAAATAGCCGTTTTTCTAGCTTACAGTCTCATTTCTCTTTTCTTTCCTACCTGGACAAAGAACAATGAAGCATCATCTCATAAAACTGAATTGCTCCTTCCCTAAATTTCTCGTCCTTCCCTAGATTTTGCCAAAGGCATAGAGATCAGAGTATATTTTACACTGCATGTGAGTGATGCATAAAACAGCAACAGTGTTGCATTGCGTTGAATGTTGCAAGATGGAGGAAAATTATTCTCTCAGATAATACTGTGACGAGAAGAATGAGCGATCTCGAAATCGCAGTTGTGCATCGAAAACGTGATTCCCTTACGCGAGCTCGCGTTGTAGTCATCGCACTGAGCGAAGCTCTTATTTTGTTCTTTTCTGAACCGCGTTTTCATTGTGACTGTGTTATCAGCAGTGCTTGTAAATGTGAATGATCCGAAACGCACAAAATGGTAATGAACTTAGTCAAGCTTAACCATTAGTTGACACACTGTGATTTATACACTTCTCTTCTTCAAAACTTGGATGATACTAGTCAAAATCAGCTGCAATTCTCTATACTTATCTAATAAGCCATTTGGTAATTGCATTGCTACCAGAGAAAAAAAAATGAAGCAGTATATTTGTAGTGGCATACAGATATAGTTATCACTTAACAAGAAGAAGTGCAGATAACTTGTGCCTACACAAAATTTACTTCATTGAAAGCAATCAGTTTAATCAATAGAGCACAGCCCAATGGCCGGATTGCAGCTGCCGTTTGAGCAACCGCTGCACACTGCGCCGATAGGGTAAATGGTCTGTCCAATCACGTTTACCCTAAAGCTAATAGGTTATTTCTTAGACTTCACCAAATAAGCAACGTTTTGAAAACTTACGGATTACGGTACATGCAAGAAGTGAAATAAAATCCTCTGCAGCGTACAGTCGCACATCCCACATATCTGTTAGAGTTCCAGAGGATCTGCAAAAATTTAGTACGCTGAGGCCATACCACATCAAAAATAGTGTCATGATGCGAACCTTCGTAACCCTTGTCACCGTTCTACGTTTACGTTGAGATACTTGAAGAGTCAGAATCATGTTTGCTGGGATTCCATTAGTGCTAAGCTCACCAGTGAACGCAGCGATAGCCTATGTGGTGTAGATAAGAAATTGGAATAGACTGCGTGAAAATTTTCTCGTAATGAATTCACGTGAACTCAACAAAAGAGCCTTTCGGCCATTCACTACATTTTTCAAGTGCGAGCTCCTAGCTTCGATGTATCTCTAGAACAGTCTTTCGTGACTAACATTCTGAACAGCTCCCAGCAAGTCAGTCGCAGTCGTATCCAGTACATGAAAATTCTCGCTGTATTCGCGATGAAGTAAACGCATAGACGGCTGTCTATCGCATTTTTTTGCATGATGAAGAGCTAGTTGCTCTGCGTAACAGTCGTACTCCTGAAGAAATATGACTAGCGTTAGGAAGCAAAAAAACGATAGTTCAATAATGAAGAAGGCATGGTCCCACCATCAAGTCCATCCGTGAAGCCGGTGGTGCGTTTTCGTTTGGATACTGACCATTTCTTGCCAACCCTCTTGCGACAACGGATCTAAGTATTACTATCATTTTTTCACTCATCATTTTACCACTCAATTTTGACTTTGGGTAGATCTATTCTTGATCACAAAGGCTATAAAATTCAAAAGAGCAAAAGTTTTTTATTGTATTTCAAGCATATGTTTGATTAAGAATTTTCGGGTGGGTTTATGGTATGCATTTCCACACAAGAGCAAAAGCTATACTGTTACTCTAACAACATACCTGAAATTATTATGCATTCCCAGCACGACCTCTCTAAACGTTGAACTGAATGCTCTGCTCGGGCAGTCAGTGCTTCTTCTTCTGGTAGTCGTTGTTGTTGTCGTGGTTGTTGACGGAATCGCTGTGCTAGTTGATGTTGATGGTGATGATTCTGTCATGGTTGTAGCTGATGTTGATGATGAAGGTGTTGTTGTTGTTGCAGTTGATGGTGCAGTTGTTGTACGTGTAAACTTGGTGATGACGCACAATCCACGCTCGCAGACACCAGGATCAGGTCCAGAGCATGGCTCATTGTCACGACACGGATCACCAGACGTGTAGACCAGTTCTCCTCGGGTCACGCTACTAAATTAAGACCATAAGTAATTTTCTATGATTAACTTTATCACTTCGCTCTACTATTACTCACGGTGCTGAGAAGACACATACAACGGCGCTATTTCGACCACGCTGAGCAAAAGAACATCCAACACTGGTTGTATTTTCACGCACTAGCTGCAATGATTGAATACTGCTAAATTACAATAGTGAACAATAAATCGACGTACATTCGCATAAGGCGGTATCACTCGATTTCCACCGTAGATGTTATCTTCCGGCCAGTCTGCGGGAGGAAAACCGCCCCACACTAATATTGCATCCAGAAGGAGAGAACGTCGCACGCTCGTAGAACTAGAATCGATTTTGTACGCCAGAACACCACAATCTTAGACTAGTGGCAGAGTACTGTGTGTGAAAATTCTATACGAATTTCTATTTCATTGGTCTTACCGATGGTAATTTATTCCGTTTGAAGGCGATGCTACCTCTGGATTAGTACCACAGCTTCGTGCAGCTTTTT